TGTTCGTTGAGCTCCGGAGGCATTGAGTATACAGAGGGTGGTGAATTGTTGTAACGTACGTTAATGAAAACGTCCAGTTGACAACCGTACTAGCGATCCCTTAGGCGTCACTCGCACTTATTCACACAACTCAATCCTCCCGGACTTGTGTAGTCCCACGACCGAAGAGAAAAAGGAGAGGTGCGAAACCCTCGGTATTTCCCTACGTCGTTCAAGACCATTGCAATTGCGAAGGGCCCAAAGCCCAACCCGCAATCGTGAGTTCCCGACTTTACTAGCAGCACCGAAGGACCCTTGGGGACCAGCAGCACGTTTGCCATTGAAAGTCCTTTTACACGCGGTTAAGTCGTATTAGACCCAACTACATGTAAGCAAGTATCCTTTGGGCCTAAAGATCATGTCATCGGGCTAGCTAGGCTCAACAAGCATGATTTGCAACTTTTGGGCCTAAGGAGTGTACGTCGACGTATTGAGTAATTTCCACGAGAGTATAGAGTTCCGAGAGTTCCATATGTGTATTGAGCGTTGTAGTGTTAGTAGTTTTGGATTTGTTATTGATTCGAGACCGAATCAATTCGTTTGATAACGATTGTTAGTGATATTGTGTATTGTAATTTATCGAGAGTCGTAGTGTCAGTCTTTGTTCACAACGAGTGTATTGAATTATCATTGAAAATTTTCTGTTTACAACCCCTCTTTATTTTGTAAATTTACTTTTTCACCCCTTTAGGTAAATTAATTTCCGGTTTAGTCCTTAAACCATTTTTCTTGACATTTTAACACCAAAAATTATTGAAATTAATATTTTTCAGCATATTTTTCATTGAAAACAGTTTAAGTCCCTGAAATTGCAGTTTTCTCAGTTATAACCCTCCTTTTTCGCAGTTTTTACAATTTTGGCCCCAATTGGAAAATTTTTGCAACTTTGGTCCTTTTTAAATTTGAAAAGCATTTTAAACCTTTGAAAAGTACTTGTAACACTAGTAGTCCACTGTTTTACAGAAAAAAACAGTTTTGGCCCTCCAAAACAGAAAATTTTGCATAATGGGCCCTATTGGGCCGAAATTGTCATTTTTAGCCCATTAAGCTTGAAATTTATGTTTTTAATCCTCCAAAAGAGTATATTTTCAGAAAATACATTATGGAAACTGTTTTGACTCATCTCACCCATCAGATTTCGAAATATTTCATTTTGGGCCCTTCAACTTTGTATTTTTAACATTTTATGTCCAAAAAAAATGAGTTTTTAGCCCAAAGTATGTATTGTTAAGCCACTTAGCTATTTATCTTGGTATACTTTGTATGTGGTAGTATATTTTATGCTAGTATCATTTAACATAAAGTATATCTCGGTTTTTAGTGATTCATGACTAGATCTAACATCATAATCATACAAAACACACATATAAGCATAGAAATCATACAAAGCATACACATAATGATAGATCTACACCTTTGATTGTATTCTCCCCCACAAAAACTTATAAAAACCGAAAATAAGGGGGTATGAAGCTCACCTTGGGGTTTGGATTTCGGTTTTGATGAAGATAAGAAGAAGGCGGTGTAAGTTATGGCTCTAGTTAGCTTCTTGAAGTGATCTTCGCATCTTGATGGGTTCTAGGGAGCATAATCACGAATTTAAGGTGATAAGAGGAGATTTTCGAAGAGGTTAAGAAGTTAAATCATAGATCTAGGTGAGAACTTACCAAAGTTTATGATATTTCCTTGAAATCCTCTTGATGCACAAGCAAAGTTTCGAGATTTTTGAATGGAGAGGAAGGATGATTTCTTGAGTAATCTAGAGAGAGTTTGTGAGGTGTGTGTGTGTGTTACTCACGGCCAAACAAGAAGAGAGAAGGAGAGAGATAGAGTTGCATGGAGAAATGAGATGGCATGGAGGTTTGGAGGGTAATGCATGGATAACCACCATATAATAAAGAGGTGGCATGCATTAGTCAACCCTTCCTCTTTTCTTCTTGGATTTGGGCCTTGGGCCGAGAATTTGGATGGAAAAGGAAAGATTTGGGCTTTAAAGCCCTCAAGCCCATATAGAAGTTAAGTTGGATGAGTTTTGATCTAAAAGAAATATAATATGATCTTCACACTTGGTTGGACTAGTTTAGGTTAATCATGGTTCAAAACTTTTAATTCATTTCCTTCTAGGCCCAATATGGCCCAAAATGTTGAAATAAATTAATGTGGGTCCAATTAGAGCCCATTTAAGGGTTCTAAGCCCATGATAGTCAAATTGGAAGCTTATTGGTCCATTTGGGTCCAATAAGGAAGTCCTAGTCCAAAATGGACTTAATCGAGGACTTCTAGGGTTTCCAATTGGTTGTTGACTATTTGTAGCACTTGCATGATGTATTTGATTGAAGTTTTTGATGTCATTAAACAAGCATCACACATGCTTTTAAGTTTTTGATTCAACCTTTACTTGAATGTAGTGATTACAAGACACAAAATTTCTAGTTGTGACATTTGTCATTAATCAAACCTTATTTAGTTTGATGGAAATTTGATAGATAATTTGAGCTTCAAGCGCCACTAATAGAGGAACAACTCCTTGAGCTTTGAATTAAAAGTGAACAAATTATTTGATACTAGATTTTATGTTAGTTTTGGTTAATGGACTCATATGTTCCATAAAATCGATCCCTGATTAAATTATGTGGAACTAGTGAGATGTTGAAGCTTAGAGGTTTCACCTATGGTGGAATTATAGTAAGAATGTGAGTTAAAAGAATAGAGAATGATTAGAGGATGGAATTTGTTGGGTTCATTGCCTTAAAATCAAATCCCTATGATAATCCATGAGTTGATGTAGGGAGTATCACTAGTTGAATCCATCATGGGTATTGGAATTGGAAAATGAGTTTTCTAATGAGGAATCCATAAGAGTTTTAAAGAAAATCTCAATAATTGTATGAATTATAATGTAACCCTCAAAATTTTCAACCAATTTTTTTCATTATTAAAACTTCCAAAAACATAGCTTTTAATTTTTTTCAACATATTTGTCAAATACATAACACCAGAAAACAAAGTCAGAATATCCCAGAATCCACAAATATCTCATCAGTAAACGAATATGTACAATCATGCCACGCCTTCCCACGATCCTGAGATGTGTCTGAAACACATTTACACCAACACTGTAATCACGAAGCTTAGTGAGTTCCCCAAAATACCATATACACAAATAATTAGCCTCTCATGGTTGTATCTCGATAAGGACTCTCTGGTCATGTGTCTCAGTGAAGACCCTCCGGTCTCACGTCTCGGTATGGACCCTTCGGTCATAACTCAATATATACACAGAATAATATAACAACATAAATCACAAAGATAGAATGCATAACACATATCTCGGTATAAGCAAACAAGACCCTCCGGTCACACAAAAATTACCACACAAGCAAGTATAATGAGAAGACTCGCATCTCGTAGAAAAGCAAGTAAACTCGCACCCGAACGGCCGGTGTAGACTCCTCCTAAACGTGCCACATATAATTCTAATTAATAATAATATCAATAACCCCAAATTACTAGACCATGCCTCTCAACTAAATCTCAGAAAGGTAAAAAACCATTATGCCCCTCCTTGGTCAAAAGTCCTCAAATTAACCTAAACTTAAAAGTCAATCAAAGTCAACGCCCAGCGCGTACGCTGGGCGTACAACTGGCAAGGCATGCGAAGGGGATTCTCCACCCTATGTTGCACGTAGCTGGGAGTACGCACGACCTATTCCTTGGTCTCTCTTTTCTCACTTCTTTTGGTCTTAATTTGTTAAGACAAACATTCCAACCCTGGATCTGGGCTAAATAAGACCTATTCCTTCATAAAGTTACTGACTTTAAGCCTTTGCATGGCTAGTCAAGACCCAATCTAAAAAACTCCATTTTTCTCACACAAAAGGTCATACAACTCATGCATGGAAAGATAAAAACGCCCAAGCACTCATTTTTATGGACTAGAACACTCTAATAAACCAAAAAGGATAGAAGAATAGCTATGGAGTTCACTAAACTCACAAAGTTCCAAACTTGGGACCTAAAACCCTAAAAAGGACCCAAAATAAGAACTAGAACATACAATGAACAAGTTTTGAACTTGATATCTCTGGAAGATGCACATACTGAATTAGAGATCAGATCCACAAGATAGAAGCACAAACTATCATTCCTTCAAGGTTCCTTCTTCACCAAAAGCTTCACAACAACACTCAAATGAGCCACAAGCACTCACACAAGCTATGGAAATGAGATTAGGGTTTGGAGGAGGTTGGAGACTGATAATGGTGGCTAGAAATGAGGTTATCGTGTTCTTTAAATACGGATACAAGAAGATATTAGGGTTCCACTTTGATCCTAGTACGCCCAACATACTAGGGTCAGTGCGCAATCCAAGTAAGAATCATTAGGGTACCAGAGATCAAGTAGGGTTGGGATATCGAGTGTGTGTACATCCGAGCAAATTACTGATATCTTATGTAGTATTTTAGAGAGGCATCATGGTAGGGACACACCACAGACCAGGGACCAGTGGAGGGGTGTGAGCGACGAGGAGCTCCGCCAGATGATTCATGATGAGGTGGGTGCTGCCATCCGCGACGAGATTCCAGAGATGTTTGGGTCTATTAAGACCACCTTGATAGAGACATTCGATGAGAGATAGTTGCGCTTTCTGAGGCTGCTGTTGTTGCGGCCACTGCAGCTGTAGCTGCGGCTAGACCGCAGGGTGGTGATGCGTTACTGTTCTTGGAGTTCAGCAACACAAAACCACAGGAGTTTGATGGGACCCAGGACCCGATTGCGGCGATGAGGTGGATATCATACATAGAGGGATGTTTCTTTACTTGCTCGTCTCCTGAGCATTTGAGGGTCCGGTTCGCACTGAACCAGCTTCGCTTGGGAGCGAAGGATCGGTGGAAGTTTGTGATGGCGCATTATTCTGTAATATATGATTCTGGGACGAAATCTGATAAATATTTTTTTAATTAATCATGCTTTTGGACTGTATTGGAAAATGAAAATTTTACCCCTGATTTTTGGGTCGTTACGGTTTGTTGTGTTGCGACGATCTGCGGAGTTGTGGTTATGATTGCTACTTGCTGAGATGGGTTAACTATTGGATGCCATAGATTAGCTATGTAGGTTGCTGTCGTTTCAGCTGCAGAGTTGAATGGTGTCTGTGAGACTAGTGTGCGATTTGAAGCGTGTTCTTCCTGGATGGAAACTTGCCCTCCGTCTAGTGGCTGCATTGGACGCACAGGACTTTTCTCTGTTGCCCCCGACGTCGCTGAAATTTCGCCTGCCATCTTTGCTCTTTGGGTTTGCTTCGTGGATGTATTCTAGAGATACATTTGGATGACGCTAAATGTTGTGATATGCCGGAAATGGTAGGACCGAGATCAAGGGTGGGTGTTGAGTTGGTTAATTCTCCTGATATCACAGTACAAAGAAAAGAGATGATCATTAGACAACGTTCGGGAGTGGTTCCTAGGACGAAGCTCCAACGATCAAGTTAGAATTGATTTTGCTAGTTTGACTTTTCTTCTTTAATGTTTTTTTTTCTGAGGGATACATTAACACACATAAATCACCTCAAACCACAATGACCATTCGTGTAATTTACTCAATTTGTATGTGATCTCCTCACAATATGTTTGCAGTGTGAACTAAATGTGTGTTTGGACTGCAAATGCAGTTAAAATATTTGGGCTTATTTAAAAGTCATTAATTTGCCTCAGCTAGCTCATTCCAATTAATATATGATTATACTCCTTATCTAATGTATATTTTTTTTTTTGGTTTAAAGCAGCGTAATAACTTGTTTAAGTACTTCGATGAAACTAATATTATCTCTCTAATTAGATGAAACTTGAGAATGTTAGAAAAAAATGTTTTTTTTTCTTAACTTCTAAAAAAATGCTCTGCAAATTTGTTACCCTCTCTCCTTGATATTGACATTTCAAAAAAAAAAAGGATTAAACTTCAAGTACCTAAACTTTGAATTTTGCATAGATCCTTATTATGTATATGTTTCATTGTGGTTTTGATATCTCAAATTAATACCATTAGCTTAAGTTTATTAGTTCATACTAAAACTCTCTTAAATATTTTCTATTAAAAAAATTAAAGGACCCACTAATTTTAGGCCACCCCACCCTTTCTTATTCAAAAATTTGACAACCACCACCCGTAACTCGGTTCACCTCTAGAAATCACCACCAGTCATCCTAATCACCCTCGTTCATCTCCGACAACTACCACGGGTCACCACCAACACCAAATCAAATGAAACTAAGCCTTATGCTCAGATGTAAAAAATCCAAATGCAAGAATAAACACATATTAATAAAACTAAATTCATGTTTATCTTCTCAAAATTCTACCAAAAGCTACAAAACTTTCCACATCCACATGAGCTTTAACAAAAGGACCGAATTACACAAAGATTTACAGGTTTTGATGGGGAAAACGTAGTCACAACGATAAATAACAATGCAGAATAATACTTCGTTTAACTAAACTATTCCCATCTTAAATGAACTTTTTATGATGCAAATAAATAGAATATTTTCACTTGCAACAAATCAGCCCCAATGCAAGTTATATGATCAATATAATCAACCAAAACCAATTAGTAATCAATCAATAAAGATACCAGAATTTTAGCGTGGAAACTTCTCAAGAAAGGAGAGTAAAACTACGGGACTACTAGAGCCACTTCAAATCTACTATCACGAATATTAGAGCAATACAGAATCTTCTCTAGATATACTAAAGGCATACAATAATCATCATATACTTGGAACTAAACCGCATCAAGCATATGGAATCAAAGAAGCAAAAACAAAGAAGAATATCACAAAAAATGTTCCTGATTTCCAACAGCCAATAGAAGCGACGTTTCCCGAGTCTCTGGAGCTGATCTCGACAATTTAACCGTTGGATTTGAAGGTCTCAATGTTAGGAAGCTGATGTCCAAAAATCAAAGAAAATGGACCCTTGGATCTCCGGGAAATTACCAAATACTGTAGGTGTATCTTCAAAACGGGAATTGAGAAAAAAAAAAGACATTTTTTTGCTTCTTAGTTCTTACTCTCTCTAAGTCTCTTGGTGGCTGAAATTTTTTATGTGTTAATTAAATTAGGGCATGTAACACACACACACACACATATATATATATATATATATATATATATATATATATATATATATATATATATATATATATATATATATATATATATGGGCTAAAGAAGTGGGCTTTTCTCATAGACTAAAAAACCCAAGAGAACCGCAAGACAAAACAATAGTCTTAGTTGAACATATACCAAATAAATTGATTGAGGTTCGAAAAACAAAAGAACGTAAATACATGAATCATGGATGTTAGTCTTCATGTATCTCTGAATGCAATAATTGAAGGTTGGCACACACATTAACGGTCTCCGTGATTCCATACACAACACACATGATTATACGAATACTAATTTTGCAAGAAGAAAATTTAAATATACAAAATCACCAATGGACGAATAGGTCTCATCCTCCTTTAGGTATGTAATAACTCCATCAGATCCTCCAAGCAATCGAGCTTATGTTCTGATTTTATCTGTTAGACCAGGAGATAGAAATGTCGAAAGAGAATGGTATACCAACGGCCAACGAGTGAAGATTTCAGATGGTGGAGGAGGGCAAAATATTTCACAATAAAAGTTACTATTTCTTCTTATCGCCCCATGGAAATACCCACAAAACAAAAAATAATAGCTCCATGGAATGGAACGTTGGTGGCATTAATTAAAAACATGGAGGTGGACTTTCAGGTGGGATTCCGATGGTCAAAGACGGACGTGTAAAATGTCCACTGCCGCTACTAGATTTCGTTTCAGAAGGGCATTGCTTTTATTTTATTATTATTATTATTATTATTATTTGTACAACGACTAGAAAAATATGCCATCAGTATAAGTCCCAACAACAAAGAAATATGCCGCATAAAATTTTACTCCAAAAACTTGTAAAAGAAAGAGTCCAATGCAATCTAACAAGTAATAGCCCAAAATAACCTTAACCCATACAAAAACCTACATATTTTACTCTATATTATAACCCAATTTTTTTTTTTTTGAATAACTCAAATTTTTATCTAACAAATAATAGTTCGAACCTTAAACAATACATAATGCCCAAATCATTTGTTTGTGTGTTTTTTTAAGTTCAACTTACAAACTATATCAAACCTAAAATATTTGGTTTAAAGCACGGGTCTCCTTATTGTTACTAAAACTATTTTTTTTAGTATAAGTTCTTTTGGGTTTGAGTTCGTCTGAGTTTGATAGGTTTCATAAGTTTGGCATGTTTCATGTGTTACACGAGTTCTGTCGGGTTGGTATAGGATTAATTATGTTGTGTTTGTGTCGTGTTTTTCAACCTACTTATAAAATGTATCGTGTTCGGTCCATCACTCTCAATCAATTTTAATGTCTTGACCCCGACACAACTTATTTTTCATGTCTATGTTATTATATTTGATCGTAAAAAAAATGGTGTCACCATTGCTAGACATTCCTGTGTCCGCCCCTACTAATGGTGCTCAAGACTAAGGTTCAAATTTGAGAGAGAGAGAGAGAGAGAGAGAGAGAGAGAGAGAGAGAGAGAGAGAGAGAGAGAGAGAGAGAGAGAGAGAGAGAGAGAAACTTTTTAAAAATAATTTTTTTTAAAATAATTAAAATAATAGATAACAACTAGTAATTAATAAAAAAATATGAATTAACGGACTTAAATTGACGAGTGTCGACTCGAATACCAAAACCATGATTTTTTGACAAACTTTGGACTGAATTTATAGTTTTTTAAAATAAAAATAAAAAACTTATGTGATTTTTTTGGAGTTTAAATGGATATTTACAACAAATTTATGGAACATAAAGGCTTTTCTATTAAAAAAGAAAACATTAAAATATTTTTGTTTTCGAAAGTCTCACATTTTTTAAAGTTCATATGAGCTTTTTTTTCAATGATATTAATAAGTCCTCATCAATTCTGAAGCAAATGCTAAACAATACAAAAACAATAAAATAATATCAATACAAATACATGGGTCCTATAAATAAATTGGTAAAAAGAACTTGATCACTTAATTGAACAAGCTCTTAGTTGGGTTGCATTCTCCCAGTCAGTAACCGAGACTTCAAGCAAAATAAAATGTTGATAATTAACAATGAAACTTTAATGTTCATATTGCAAACAAAACACACATCTCACTTATTTAACTTGACAATGGAAATAGATCATAAGCAATGTTAAAGAAAACCTAAAATTCCAAATCATATTATTGTCTCATAAAGACATGAGAAAGTTATACAATTTATGTGATCAGACACCAGTTACTTGTGCCAACAAACCAATTAACTCCTAACATTTATTATATATACCTCGACAAGAAGTCATTTCAGTTTAAAGATCATATATAAGGGTCTCCAGGCATTACTAAAAAACCAAACACAAGACTAACCAACTATAGATCTATTATATTCAAAAGCTTAAAAGATAACCATACCATTTACACTCTATTTATTACCTATATACAAAGTAAAAAACCTAATCCCCTTGTATCAGAAAACCCACCGAGAACTGGTTTATAAAAAGACCCAGTAAAAAAAAAAAAAAAACAATACTGTTACAGTTAGTTCATGTCCATCTCTTTCAACCTAATTCAGTAATTCATGATCAAAACTCAAACCCAACTCTGCCATTGCAAAACTATCATCTTCAGGTCTTCCTGTGTTCAAGAAATCCAAACAAGAACCTTGCCACATGTCTAGATTGTTTGGTTCATAAGTAGCAAAATCATTTGGGTTCAAATTGGGAACAAAACCATCTCTTTGATCCAAATCCTCAAGAAGCTGATCCATATCAAACATCTCATCTTCAGGTAGCATTTGAAAGTAACCTTCACCAATACGAAATCCCACATCTTTTTTCTCCTCGATAGGTTCTTCTTTGACCAAAGTCAACGGTTCATCATGTCCCATTTGCAGAAGATCACATGTAGTGGTGGTAGAGTCACAACTAGAAGCAGGTTTAGACATTGACCGAGAACAATCATTTGTTGACTGACAATTTGGTAGATTGAGTCGGGCAGAAGGTCCATACATTGCTCGGGCAGCTTCGTCATAAGCTAGGGCAGCTTCAATGGCTGACCCAAAAGTTCCAAGCCATAACCGTTTACCCCTATTGGGTTCACGGATCTCTGCTACCCATTTACCCCATGTTCTTTGCCTCACTCCTCTATACTGACACCTTGAGTTTTCAGGTCCTCCTTTACCTTTCATACAACCTTTCTTGGACCCTTTTGCAGGGGCTTTTCGGGTAATGTTGTTATTTTCTTTCCACTTGGCAATTGTTGCAGCCACTTTCTTTGGTGCATCACGCCTGCTTCTTGTTTTCTTCTTTCTTGAAGGATCCATTGGTAAAGAAGATGTATTGGAAGTTTGACTAAGAATATCCATCTCAGTGTTTCTGTAAATACACAAGCATCAAGCAATGAGCAAAAGCCTCCTATTGGGGTTTAGATGAAAGAATAAGTGTTTCATACAAGCAAGAACTGAATACTGGATCTTCAAGGGTAACTCATCTACATCATTGAGATTGTAAATAACTAGGGTTCCAAGGAAAGAGATTAAAGATTTAAGATCCAGATTAACTTGATAAATTACGTCAGTTGAAACAACACCATAAACTCAATTCGATTCAGTCCTAACTACACATTACACAATCACAGTTTATTAATCTGCGAACAGAAATCGCATAAAAACAACATTCTAATCAATACCAGTTTTATAAAAAACAAATGTCATATAGAAACTCATAGGATAACAATTCATTTCAAGTCGAATATGACCAGGTATCTAAAGTTCATCAGGCATCAAATATCAAATCGATAGAATCAATTCCGCCAATATCGACTATTAACAAACCAGAGAATCAAGCATTGTACGATTAATGCTTCCAAAACGCCATCAAAAAATTAAGAGGTTGCGTACTTATGATTCATAACACAGAGCACAAATTGCACAAATCCAAGATAAAACCCTAGTCTAAAGTCTCCAAAAACAATAAGTAAACTAAAGTTCAAATGTTAAATCCAGATCCAACGATTTTCACATAAAATAACAAAAAGATCAGACGCAAACATACCTCTCTGTGTATCGAGTCATACTCCACAAAATAATTAGAGATTTATTCTGTCTTGACGCCTTTGAAATCTGTTCTTGTAGAAAATAAGAGCAAGAGGAACAGAAGTAGAAAATATCTGTACTTAAATGTAATCCGCGAACAAGTTTCCTTTTCTTGCAGAAGTTTCAGAAAAATGATCTGAGCAACTTTTGGGGTATTTATAGCCTTCTCTAGATATTTTCGCGATTGATACCTTTGAATATTTTATTATTTATAATATTTTTCTGTAAAGATCTGGATACGTGTAGGCGTTCGTGGCTACTGGAAACTTCTGCGCGTGTCGATAGGAGCTAACGTTTATCCCTTGCTGACGAAGGCACCCTCGTTTTAGCTTTATTAAAAATTGTCTTCCAACTTTCTTTTAATTACACTTATGCCACACGGTTACAACACCAAGAAGAAATCGCTTTGTCTTCTAAAATCATGTTTATTTGTTTATGGTGTGCTCACAATCGGTAATCCAATCTTTAATTAAAAAAATTATTTTTTCTAATAGCCACCAATCAAATTTAAACCTTTTTTTTTTTTTTTTTTAAATTTATTGATAACCTAACTCACCCAACAATTTATTTGAAAAAATTTCATATATTTTTTTTTTTAAACTTCAAAATATCATTTTTATTCAGCTTAATTTCTCAATATCATATTTACCTTTCATAAACCTTTCAAAATATCATATTTGTTCAAATCTTTTTTTATAATGTTTTAATATTTTATAATCATTTTTTTATACCTTAGAATTATTATAATAATTAAAAATTTTAACCCTATTATCCTTATGTCTATGATAATGGAACGTGAATTACTAAATTGTTAGAATGTCGTCCTTTTGACAAACAAAAAAATTCATTCCAACCCTCTCTATGGAATGTATGTTTTGATTGTTAATGTTCTTTTATTATTATTATTATTACTATCATGTTGTAGATGGAGGATATTTTAGATATTATCATTGATATTTTGATGTTTAAAAAGTGCATATAGAATATTTTGATTTTTAAGAAGGACATATATGATATTTTGATGTTTTAAAAGGATATATATGATACTTTGAAAATTTATGAATGGTAAATATGATATTTAGAAATTTTATGAAGGGTAAATATGATATTTAGAAATTAAGTTAGGTAAATATGATATTTTTGATTTTTAAGAAGGGCATATATGAAATTCTCCAAATTTATTTTATATAACACTTTCATATACATAAAAAATTATATTAATATTATATTCAATTGATTTCGACCAGAGTTTTAGCATCAATTCTGGATAATTTTGGAAGTTTTATGAAGCTAGTTATGTGTTGGTGGAATATGTCAGTTTCAGTCAAATGGTAGGACCTTGTTTCAGTCATTTATGAGGATGTTTTTGTTAACGATTGAGGTTCGTCATTCCGTTAGATCTATTGGTATTTCACCCTTTTAGGTAAGACCGTGAGGAAAAAGAAATGCAGTAGATCTTGGGTTGGTATTGGGTTCTCTTGAGGTTATGTATTGTGGTAAGTTCATTAGATATTGTCGGGAGGGGTGTATGTGGGTCGAACAAGAAAGAAAATGAGCACTTGGTTCGAATTATAGGCATGGTTCTTATTTGGGTTATAGCATTTGAGTTGGAACAAGATTACAATGACCTATCTCATTTTTTGGTTGAGTGTGACCATGTTTTTGTCTAGTTTTGTGTTGGTGACAACATGTTCTGTCACACCCCCAAACCGGAACGACGGAAACGTTCGGGGCGGATGACTTCATGTGGTAACGTAACAAATGAATACATAGTAAAGAAAGCAATACAACCATTATATATATAATTGAAAGTTTACATTGTTCAAAAGAGTACATGTTCAAAACCAATTACAATATGATGCCAAAATATGAATTTAAACTAGTGCCGCAACGTCCCTTCTTCAAAAGTTGTTTAGTACCTGTAATTACTGACTCCCTGGGACATACAAGTAGTTTTGAAAGAGTAGATCAACATTTAAGCTGGTGAGTTTCATAAGCATTTAATGCTAGTATTTGTATGAAAATGAAATGGTTCGTTTTTGTTTGTTAATTAGTGTGACATCCCCAAAATCACGGCCAGAAAAGACCGGTTTGTTTATGCTTTGTTTAAAAATCAGAGTAACATTTTAAATAAAAGTGTTGCGGAATTTGTCCCAAAACAATAACATGATAAAGATTTATCAAAAGCATTTCCATAGAAATGTATTTCATTAAAAGACTCGGGATGTCATGTTCGTACAGATCAAAAGCATAAACAGTACAATACAAGCCTTACTACATTATTTCATATCTACAGGCCTATATCCGTAATCCCTCGTCCAAACATCATATATATGCTCAAGCGCCACTACCTGTAATACATAAAACTGAGTGGGTCAGGCTTGGGAGTCTGGTGAGCACATAGGGTTTTCAACCCACAATAAATAAGTTTATTAATTTCATCAATCAACAATAACCCGATTACCCGTTCCCGTTATCCTCACTTTACGTCCCTAAACACCTATCATAAGGGACCTAGCCTAAGGATCATCATCGGGACGGACACTACTGCTAAGGGGATTCCTCAGCAATAAATGTCCTAATAGGCAACCATGTGGGGGATGGAGTACACCGGTGAACACATCGTTCACAACACCTACAGGTTGCGAGCCTGCTAGTGTTCCACTGGACTGTCTAGAAGAGTCCGTGGTCGTCATCTATACTCCGCTAGATGACTGGATCAACAACAACAACATCGAGGCCTCTCATCATTTTATCACACATTACCTATTACATCTACCCATGTTTTACCCCAACATTTTCGTAGATATAAAATGCATATACAGTTTAAATCATTGAAAACATGTATAACAACGTTCATCTAGCATAGATAGCAAGTATTCAGATAATATGCACACATAGCACGTAATTTATATAAAATACTTCATATCTATGTAAGTTGAAAGTAACTGTGCACTCACTTGAAAAGGTGGTGATTCCGAACTCAGACAGCGCTTCGCTTCTTAAATAGAATTTTCTTCGACGAAACCTAGTATTATTACCACTAGAGTTTAGTCTATTATTCGCCGAGACTAATTAATAGTCTAGCTATTATTATTATTATATAAGCGTTAAAAAAAATACTTATATAACCCATAATAATAGCCCAAGTATTTATTATAAGTTCATAATAACAATACTAATTTTAAATATAAGCTATATTAAAATAAGGTAAGCATAACTTACTTACAAGGGGGTTTTAGCTAGGAGTCGGGCTCTGCAGGGGCAGAACTTCGTCGCTGAATCTTTCTAAGAAATATTCGTGCAGCGCTTCAGCGCTCACCTTACTATACTAAACTATAGAAAGAGAAGTCGAATCACGAGGGACCGAAATGCTCGGGGGATAAGGAGAGAAAGACTCTTGAATCAAGAGAATGGTGCAAGAAATATGAGAGCCCAAGGCTCTTATTTATACTAATTGAATTTTCAAAAACTACCCTCCATAATTACTTAATGACCTTTTAGTTATATAAACAACTAAACACTCCTCTATAATACTATTTTAAATGGATTTAATGATATTTGTACTAAACTAATGTCGAAAGAACTCAATATTAGTCTTATAATGACCGCATCGTCGATACCTTTCTAATGATATATACATATGTATATATATGTGTACGTATACATGATTTATACTTTATTTTAATACGTAAATATGCTATTATAATTTGTAACTCGTTCATACGAACTCCGTTTTTGACGTTCTTTATATCCACGCGTAGGTGGAGGCATACTCTACAACTTTCGTTTAGACTCCGTCGGCTAATTTTGACTTTATTTTTAAAGTTATATTTTTAACAGGCCGGGACAGGATTGATCTGTTTAAAATCTCATAACTTCTTCATACGAAGTCAGATTTGGGCGTTCTTTTTATCGATGTTCTTAGTTTAACATATTCTACGACTTTTGTTTAGATTGCTAAGGCTAAAAAGTCTTCTATCGTAAATTCACTATTTACGTCTCTCGGTGTCGTGCCGGTTTTGCCGTAAAACTTCGGCGGGCCATAACTTCTTCGTTATAGCTCGGATTTCGACGTTCTTTATATGTACGGAAACCTTGAGACATATTCTACAACTTTATGTAGAGATATCGGGATTATCTCACACTTTAATTTTGACGCTCATTTTATTCTTTATTAATTATACATTCATAATTAAACAATAAACACACAAACACACATAATTCACATAATACTCAAATATTTCATATTTATTACTTCAAAAAGAGTTACAATAGTTGACCTAGACTATTACTTGATAAAAATGCTTAGCCCTGAAACCCGGGCGTTACAATTAGTTTCTAGAAAATCCCATATTTCCTACTGGTATAAACGTAGCCTTAAATCAAGACCAATATATGTTAAAAAGTTGATGTTTTTCCATCTATGAGTAGTGGTTAGAAGTTTAAAACTTATATCACAATTGAGTTTTTCATGCATAAAGTAAATGAATTTATTTTCGTATAAAACCTCCATTTCATCTGAAAAACCCCGTAAATAAATGTGTTTTTAATACTCTATGTGAGTTTTATAACCATGCTATTGACAAGGAATTCCTATACACAACGTTCTTCAGGCGTTGGAATGTTCTGACGTTTGTCACCCCAAATGGTGTACTATAGTTAACAGTCAGGGTGCGGAGTTGTTAATCCCGTATAGATCTATACACAAACACCATGCTCCCCCTCCAAGGGATTCTGGTATATAATACAGGACTTGAAATGTGTACTCGAGCGTACGTGAAGTTTAATGTCTCACAAAACTTAGTATAAAACAGTTTTACGTGTGAAAATGTTCGTTTGTCCTTGTATATGAAAGTAAATTCTTGAAATAGTATTTCCATGTATGTAAAAGTTCATAGTATTCTCGTAAAACTATACCTATTATAGTTTTCTAAAAGTGTGTTTCGTTAGTATAACAATTCCTAGTGAAAATGTTCACTTGTTATGAAAAGTATAGTTTTTGTAGTGCCAAAACCGACAAATATAAATATAGTATAAGCCGAGTGTCTGATTTACATAAATACATAAATCATTTCCTATTTCAAAAGATAAAATGTTGTCGTGGTATAATTCGCATATGAAAGTTTCCCTATAATAGTATAAGGTCAATTTGGAATTCTACTTGTCTATCCGAGGGAAGTCCAGGGAATACATCTAGATATTCATTAACAATGGGATCATCCTTTATCATTTT